TCGCTTCGTGCTGGGGCTGGACGTGGGCAGCTCTGTGATCCGCTGCCACGTCTATGACCGGACGGCGCGGGTCTGCGGCTCCAGCGCGCAGAAGGTGACAGGGGAGCGGGCTTCGGGGAGCAGGTGTGGGTCTCGCAGAACACGCGGGATCGATCCCGAGAGGCGAGCGGGCGGGTCCGCCCCTCCCAGCCTGGACGCGGCCACCTGCCGCACGACGGGCCCGGGGACCTGAGTGGCGCGCCCGGACGGCCACTTCGCGCATTCCCTCCGCCCGTGGGCTGCACCGCGGGCGCCCTTCCTGCCACGCTGAGCGCACCCGGCGGGTGTGTGAACCGCGCCGCTCCCGGGCTCTCTTTCCTGGAAGTCCCCTCTCCGGCCTTACCTGGGTGGGACTTGAGGTGATTCATTGTGCGGCACTGGGCAGGGTCCGCGTATCCAGCCAGAGGTGGTTTGTGATTTGCTTGCTTTTTCCTGTACTTCCTTGATAAACCTCCAATTCCGAGTTTATTTACATTAAACATTTTTAGGTCTTGACAGAACTTAATTTATTGACTGTTTTTCGGTTGTCATCTTTATTAACTACTCCTGAAAGTGCTGCTTCCTCACATGAACAGCTGGTTTCCATGAATATTTGGAGGAATTGAGCAATTTTGAAAGTTGTATTGTCATTATTATTTTCTTTTCAACTTTGAGAATTCATAAAAACATCTTTTTCCTGGATTGAGAAACCTACCAAGTCATTGGTTGGCTGTTAGCAAAGCTTTGAACTATTGATTATTCTGTGCAGCAGCCAATAACTTAATATTCTTTTTTTTTCTGAATACTTTTTTATTTGTAGATGGACACAATATCTTTATTTTATTTTTACGTGGTGCCGGGGATCAAACCCAGTGCCTCACTCATGCCAGGCAAGCGCTGTACCACTGAGCCACAACTCTGGCTCAACAACTTGATATTCTTGTTCTCAGTTCACCAGAAGTAATGTTTATTGGATATGGTTTTCTTATTTTTTCTTTTCAATACCTGCATCTTTTTGTGTTAGAAATGATATGGAGCAATTCGTTTCCTCAACCATTTCCAACGGTATGGGACTATTTCTTTTTCTCTGTGTCCACCTGTCTTCCCACTGTCTTCCCAGCAGCTGCCCAGGAACCAGTCTACCTAGGATGCAAGTAAGTAGAGAGGGCTTTGAGAATTCGTTTTGAGGAAACATCAGACTTTCATTCAGATTTCAGTAAAAGGACAGGGAGCTGGGACTGCAGCAAATCCCTGATTCCTTCCTGGCTAGCAGTGCAGGAATACCCCTTGACCTCAACTCTACCCCAACCTGAAAGGACAGATGAAAGACAGACACTGTCCTTCAGTGACTGTACTCCTTATCTTATTATGAGCCTTTACCACAAACACAGTGATACTTTTTACATTCTCCCTTAGAATTCTAGACACAAAGTGCTTTTGTTTTAAGCATTGATTTTTTAAAAAATGTAGTATTTGGATCCCAAAGGAGAAACTTGTTAGAAAATGTGGTTTCACAGTTGCTATATAATCTGGGGCAAGTCATTGTTTTTTTAGAAATGAGGTTAAGAATCTCAAAGATAAATCAAAATTGCAGTGATTGAAGGAAGCTAGGGTGGTTTGCTCATACTCTAAACTGTGGAGAAGTTGTCTGCAAAAATATATGAGTAAATGAAAATATGAAAAATTTGTCCTCCAGGAACGAAGCACTATTTTAGATGAAGGAGTTTATAGCAATGTCTCTCCAACTTAAGGTGGAAGCTTTCAGTAGTATTTAACTATGGGTCTGGGACTGCTGGATTTGAAATAAGTAAAACTAAGCGTTTAGAAACTTGTGTAGCAATTTGGCAAAGCAATTTTATGTCTGTTGTCTCTAATAATGAAACACTTGGGATTTTATTTTGTGTGTCTTGTTTTCTAGGAATTTATTTTAATTGTATCTTAAAAATCATTGGCCCACAAGGCTGGGGGTGCAGCTCTCTGGTGAAGCAGTTGCCTAGCCTGTGCAAGGCCCTGGGTTCTATCCCCAGCATTACAGAAAAATAAAAATAAAAATACAAAAGCAGCATCTGGTCCTTTACTGCAGATAGTTTGAGTTCTTTGGGAAGATCTTGTTGGTCTACATTGCAAATTAGCCCCTGGTTTATTACTTCATGGGCACAGAATAAATAAATGAATTGCAGTTAATTAAAGTGTTAGGAATTCAGTTTACTTCATGAACTCTATGACTTACACAAAAAAAAACTTGATTGTATCTGTTTTCTCCAGTGAAAAAAATCACACCCATGCTACTATGATAGAAGGAATAGTAATAAAAACCTGAAAAGAGCTAACTCTTTGAAGACATGAATAAGATAGATAGTGTTGACCTTTTAGTGAAAATTGAAATCCCAGACATGAGCACTTATATTAGGAGGTTTGTACTAGACCTCTCAGAAGAATTCAGATTTATTTCTTGTACCTTCATATATTTAAAAAATTTTTAACAACAGAGCTGCACTTTGGACTTTTTCATTAGTTTTTGTTTTCAGTTGTGCTGGGGAACAAACCCAGGTTATACATTTTACTGCTGAGCTACATTGCCAGCCCTGAGAATTTGTATTCTTTTTTAAGTATTTCTTCTAGGCTCTTAAATATTGTTGTTAAATATTATATAAAATTGCACAGGTGCACATTTGATTTTGTTTTGAAAAATGTAGAAAATTAGGGCTGGGGTTGTGGCTCAGTGGCAGAGCACTTGCCTAGCGTGTGCTGGGTTTTATTCTCAGCACCATATATAAATACATAAAAAATAAAGATTCACCAACAACTAAAAAAAATTTTTGTTTAGATGTAGAAAATTTATCTTGTTTTCCAGTTGAATATCATGCTGTTCTGAGAAGTTGGTAAGATAATGATTGGAAGAACATGTTCAGGACAGAAGTTTCACACCAGTGAGAACAGTGACATCTCCAATACTGTGTACTCATAGTACCCTCTTGGAAAATACGCTGCTGGTTATCATTTTTTTGTTTGTTTGTTTGTTTGTAGTCAGAAGACATTTTCTTCTTAACTTTGATTATATTCTCCATCTGATTTTGGTTTGGTTCTCCTAGAGAGGGACATATTTCACTCCTGTTACATGCCTGGGGACTGCTATGGTTTGAGTTCCCAAGGGTTGTGTTGGGAGCTTGGCTCCCAGTGAGGCACTGTTGGGAGCTGGTGAAACCTTAAAGACATGAGACCTAGTGGGGAGTCCTTAGGTCACTGAGGGTGCTGTCCTCAGAGGAACCAAGGTGGTTCTTTTGGCTTTTGGGATCCTGGCAATTTCCTTTTCCCTGGCTTCCTGAGTTGCTGTACGTTCTCTTTCTCTTGCATAAATCCTGCAGTGATTCCATGGCCATCTGCCATGATATAATGCAGCCAAGGGGGCCATCATCAGAGGACAAACTGAGGGAACCGGCAGATCTTGGACTTTCAGCCTCCTAAAATGTGAGCTAGTTGGGCATGGTGGTGCGCAGGCCTAGTAATCCTGGGAACTAAAGAGTCTGAGACAGGAGGATCACAAGTTCAGTGAGTTCAATGCCAGCCTCAGCAACCTAGCAAGACCCTGTTTCAAAATTAAAAATAAAAAGGGCTGGAGATATGGCTCAGGGGCAAGGTGTGCTTGGATTCAATCCCTAGTACTGCAAACAAAACAAAGCATAAACTTCTTTTCCTTAGACATTACCCAACTTTGGGTATTTTGTTATAGCAATGGAAAATGGACCAATATAGAGATGCTGTGACCTGTCCAGGTAGGTGGAATTAGGTGAAGTGAGCCAGTGGGTCCATCATCAAGTCTGAAGTTTTGTTGCCTGAAGCAGTGATACCACATTGAATTTTGGGGGATGAGAAAGTATTGTTGTTGAACCATTATAATCTGTAGTCAGAAAACCCTTGGATGGAAATGACAGAAATATTTTAATGGAAGAGAAATAGATTTCATTAAATCTGTTACTGATGAGCTCACTGAATAATAATAGATTCTTTTTCCTACAGTACCTTAAGTCACCCTTCTGTTCCCGATGTTATTGTTCTTTGTCTTTATTTTGGGCATTTCTTTTTTTTTTTTTTTTTTTTAGAATTTTAATATTTATTTTTTTTAGTTTTCGGTGGACACAACATCTTTGTTTGTATGTGGTGCTGAGCATCGAACCCGGGCCGCACGCATGCCAGGCGAGCGCGCTACCGCTTGAGCCACATCCCCAGCCCCAATTTTTGGGCATTTCTTAAATGTTTAGAAATTTTCCTAAAATGATGCTTTTGTTCACTTTTTCAGTACCATGCCTTGCTCTAGCACTCAGCTGTATCTGTATCTGGTATTTGTAATATAGAACTCTGGGTTTAGCTACTCTAGAGAGTAAACTTCTTACTTTCTGCCAGGTTAGGGAGAGGCAGTGATCTGGCTGAGATCTTTAAAAAGACCTTGAATCAGTTTTGTATACGGCCCTATCTGGCTTCTCAGCATTCAGAGGTATCTCTAATTTCTAGTGTTCCACTGTAAAATCTCTTCTCTGTTGATGGCCCTTGCTGTGATAATTTGCTTATATATTGATTCATTATTCCTCCCCCGCCCCGCATATACTACTGTACTAGTCTTGTTCACCTTTTATTTGAGGAATACCTGTGATGTCCTAGGCACTTCTGGATACTGGGGATGAAATGCACAGAAGAGACATGCGTCCTGCCCCCGAGTGCTCCATTCTGAGAAGTAGGGTAGAGATGGTTTGACTCTGGGCAGCCTGGCCATTATGAGGAATAATGGTTTTACCCCAGAGTGTGGTAGGGTTGAGGGTGGGGTGGGTAGAACAGAGGTGCAGGTATTCTGAAGAGGGAGTAAGGTGTGGGCATTTTCTCCAGTAGGCTAAGTGTTGTACCACCTGCCCACTCATTGTTCATATTTTAAATATGTGTTAAAATATAGTCTGTTCCTGTTTGCTTTCCTCTTCTGTTTGTCCTTGTGCCTTTGAAGTCCTTTTTTTTTTTTTTTAAGTATTAGGGATGGAACCCAGGTCTTTGACACATGGTGTACAAGTGCTCTACTACTGAGCTACCACA